AGTTCCCTGCTGCAGGAACCCAATGTTTTAGGAACGCGATGCTTTTCGCTGGGGTGCAATTCTTATCGTCAGTTCAACAGTACAGGCTGGAGACGGCCTGGTAGCTAACATCAGGGTTTGATCCTGGATCGTTCCTGACCTGCTTCTCTACTGCACCTGATGTTCTGTTTAGGTTTTGTCACACAGCTTTGTGGTTTTCCAACGACATTCTCTGAGACTGCCGCCAGACAATGCAGCCATGGCTGCTGGACCTGCTTTGGAGAAACCCGGCAGCCAACAGGGCATCATATTTCGATCGAGGCAGGTGGTTCACACCTGCGGTCCTGGCCATGTGCGGCCTGATTTGCATGAGCAGCATCCCTTCTACTGACTTGGCATCTACACAACATCAGTTGGTTTTAAATTCTCCTGGAATCGAATTTCTGGCTCTTCATTTTGCGCTTGAACGTTGATGTGAAGATGAAACATCCGGAGTGCCATTTCCGTTTTCCTTGATTCCGTACAAAGGTTATTTGCAAATCAGTACTTCTTGACTCTATTTATTTGATGTAACACGCTCACCTTGGTCACTGCACACAGCTGCCCAAACTGCACTTGCAAGCGTCCTCTGGCTGCCATTCTGATCTGAAAGTGATTTCGCAGGGGTTGAATAAAGTATGCCTTCGTCCGACAGACTAACTTTCTTTTCTGTATGACGGGCAAATATCCGAGTGCTGGAGCATCCGATGCCTTCTCCATACACCTCCCTGCGCCCTTGCTTTCTCAAACGCGATCCTGCAGTTTGAGAGCCGAAGGCCATAAATAGCAGCTCCAATGCGACTGTCTCCTCCAAATCACATTATGAATCACGTCCCAACACCCTGTGGGCGCTGTTAGTGTAGCTATGGAGAGTGCATTTAATTTGGATGAGCCAGACTATAGGCAGTAACGAAAGCCACACAATGAAGGGATCAAAGCAACATAGGGCTTCCTCTTGCCTGCTAGCCTTATTCTTGGGTGAATGAACGATGGTCACTGCGTGTACCATGAGTTTGGAACACGTTGAGTCCAGTCAGTGCTGCATATATTGCCAGAACGCAGCAGTACCACAACACTTCTGTGAAATGTTGTTGAATGTGAAATTCTATGCGCCTGAAAACATTGGCCATGTGCCCGAAGCTGAAAGAAAGCGCAACCTCTCAGTTGTCAGCAGGGCAATCTGCATACTGGCACATACACTTGCTGTCCAACAAGAGCGACCTATGAATGGCCAGTTGCCCTCTTCAGCGGCCTGTTTGTGACAATGTCACGTAGGGTTGCCACAATAACTATTCCCAGCAGTAGTTGCAGAGAGCTGTTGGAGATTCCTACTATGCCGCACTGTCAACCGTGTTCATTGCTGCGTTTTGCTTTCCTAATTTTATGACAGACCACACAGCCTTCATTTTAGGTTGTGTCGACAGCTGCATCCGTATGTGGTGCCTCTGACCCAGTGTCCACCGCCAAGCAGTACACTATGGAATGTTGCAGAGAAGCGCGCAGCGCCTACACAGCCAATTCAATTTCTCACAGCTGCAGCCATGTTGGTTGTGAAAACAACAAGGGTGAGAAGGGTGGCTGCTTTCTTAGCACATTTCGCTGGCCCAGGAAGTCAGCCGCAAAAACTTGAAAATTGCACGATGCCGTTGTCTCTTCGGATGCTGGCTTTACGTCTGTTTGGCATGCATGTGCACGCCCATGGTTCGCTAGCCCGCAGTGGCGTGGATGTGACTCTGGAATTTGTCATGGAGTTGGTCTATAGCTGGACATCCAGGAGGTGAAGAACGCTGTGTGGGATGCCTTATGCCGCACACTGCCCCGTCGATGGATAGGCAGTCGCTTTCGCCAAATGTAATTAAGCTGCAGTGGTGTGGTAACTGGGCTCCAGTGAGTCCACCATTGTCGCAAATCGGCAATTCAGAACGGTTTTGCCACAAAGGGGGAACTGAAGCCAGCACGTTGAAAGCAGCACCTCAAATTCAATGACCAAGCGCCACAAGGAAGCAGTGTTGTCCTGTGCAGCACTTTGCTGAGCAGCTAAGTTTGAGGTACCGTAGTCTGGGATGGAACAAATAGCGGATTGACCAAGATTTATCACTGTCCAATGACGCAAGCATCCCGAGTTCTGTGTCACAAAAGCTGTGGGACAAGTGCAGTCCATACCTCTAATATAGCCAAAAAAATGCTGCAGAAAAGTACTTCACAAATTGAGCGAACTTATGCCCAGCACACTCGCCGGAGTTCCCCCAAGAACCACTGCTGCCCCCTGCCTGCTCACAATCGTCCCAAGTCATGAGGCACTTCCACAAGCTCCCCAACGTTTTCTTGCTCGCCCTGTTTTCTTCAAATCATGCCCAGCTCAGCGTGTCCCAGCGAAGTCAGAACCCAGACAGAAATGCTCGCATCGTGAAGCAGTGCCGGACGGATCAGAAACAAAAATTTGCGCGCACAGCGCCACGGCCACGCCAGCCCCAGCGCCCCTCACGTTCCCGGCAAACACTCTTTCCACTCGCGCAACACACTGAGAGCCGCCCCTTGGTTCAGGCACAAAAACTCGCTGCTGCAAGTCCATAGGCGCACGACGGGGCCCCCCGTGCCCCTCCCCATCCGCCCTCAGAACCACAACAAATTTCCCAATCAACAAAAGGAGAAAACTCTGGGCCGAGCAAACTCACCACCGGCGCGCCCTGTCGGCTGTTTTCGGAGCCCCTTACGCCCGTTTCCGCCCCACATCATCCGGGCCGTCGCGTACCTCAAACCCGGCGCCACCATCCCCCGGCCAGCCCATCCGCGACCCGTTTCTGGGTCTCCGCCCCCCTCCCCTGCCCGCCCCCCATGAGCGGCTACGCTTACGAGGCCCCCGGCGGCCACCCGCCCAACCCCTACGAGGTGCCCTACGGCTACGACCACGCCGCCTCGGCGTACGGCGCGCAGGCGCAGTGCGACGGCGGCCAGTACGCGTCGCCGGGAGAGGAGATCCGCACAATCTTCATCACGGGTTTCCCGGACGACGTGAAAGAGCGCGAGCTTAATAACATGCTGAGATTCCTGCCGGGCTACCAGGTGGGCAGCGGGAGGGGGGCCCGGGGGGGGGGCTCAGTTGATCAGCAGGAAGGGGTTGGGGTGGGGTGGGGCTGACCCCTCGCAAGGGGGGACGTTGGGATGTGTCTGGACGGTTTGCTGACGGCTTGCTCGTCGAGTGCGGCGGGCGGCTTTGGAGCAGGCGTCGCAGATGAACTGGAAGAACGGGCAGGTGAGGGCGGGAAGGGGGCCGATCGGCATCCCTGTCAGGGTCGATCGGCGCGGCTGCGCGGCTTTCGCACCGGGCTCACGGAGGCGCCGCGCTGGTCTGGCCCGCAGGCGCAGGGCTTCGCTCTCTTCTCGCATCCCCAGGCGGCGCGGGCGGCGGTCTCGGCGATCCACTCCCTCTGGTAGGTGGCTTTGCCACGGCTCGGGCGGCCTTTGGGGCGCCTTTGCCGCCGGGAGGCTTTTGCGCGTTGGGGGCACAGCTCGGGGGGGGAGGTCCCGCGGGCCCTCGCGGGCCGGGCGCGCCAATATTGGGGCCCGTCCGGTGTGCTTTACGGCCGGCCAGGCTGGCCTGTCCCGTCGAAAGGGCCTGAAAAGTGGTGGCGGCGGTCTTCTGCTGCGGGCAGCTTCGACGAGAACAGCATACTGCGGGCGGAAATGGCGCGAAAGAACATGTACCTGAGGGAGGACGCGTGCGCCAAGAGGCCGCGGGCGGCCGGCGGGCCGGAGGTGGCGCCCGTGGCCCCCACGGCCTACGCGCCCGTGACCAACAACCGGGACAACCCGCCCTGCAACACGCTCTTCATCGGCAACCTCAGCGACGCGGTCAGCAAGCAGGAGCTGGAGGCCCTCTTCGCACACCAGCCGGTGCGGGCCCCGCCCCGAAATTCCGCAATTTTGGGGACTTGGGAGTTTTGGGGAGCTTTTGTTGGGGTGCGGGCGTGGCCCGGGCGGCCGCCGCGGGGCGGGGTTGACCATCGAATGGGCTGCTGGGAGGCGGCATTGCGAAATGATTATTGGATGGGGTGGGCTGGGGTGGGGGTGGGGGTTTTGGCGGTGGGGTGGCTGTGGGGGAGGGGGCGGCGGCTGGAAGGGGTTGCCGCCGCCGTGACCGCTTTCCGTGTCGGAGGCCAATTATTTTCCGTTTTGGGTCGCCGGCACATCGCGCGGGGGGCGTTTCCGGACCGGGGCAGGGTGGCGTTGACCTGGTCCGGCCATTGGGCGGCCGCGGCTGGGCTTCTGGGCGGCCGAGGCGCGAATTCCGAAAAGCGGGTTTTGGGGGTTGGGGGGCATTGGGTTTTTGGGATGAGCCGGCGCCGGCTGGCTGCTACCGTTGACCTGCGGCGGCCGCGCTACTGGGATGCCGTCTGAGCCGCCTTTGTGGCATCCGGCGTGCCCTAGGTGCCAATTCTTTCTGTGCCTTGTCTGCAGGATTGCTTGATCCCAGTTCTGGGTGCCCCCTGTGGGCTCCTTGGGGTTGGGGGGATTTGGGCCCAATGTTGCTATGGGGGCGTGCCGAGTTTGGCCCCGGCGGCTGCCCGTTGCGTTTGGGATGCGTATTGGCTTCCGCCAGTGGGGTCAATGGGCCGGCGGGGCAGGGTTGACCGGCTGCCGGCAGAGTGCCTTCCAAATGGTCCTCCCCCGCCTATCGGGTTACGTTCGGGTTTGGGCAACCGAAGAGGGACCTGACCCCAGACTGTCCATTTTCAGGGGTACTCCCAGCGAATTTTGTGTTTGTAGCCGCCCCAATTCTTACTCGGTTGCGTCCAGCTGATGCAGCCGCAGCGAGTCGCGGGTGGTCAAAGCATCCCTCCGGGAGCTGCGGCGACTGTTTGCTGTCTGGGGCGAGAAGCACTGTGGAAAGTTTAGAGGCGTTTGGACGCCCGTTTGAGGCCCTCCGCGTTGACTGTGCAGGGGTTCAAGCAGATGAAGCTCGTGCGGGCGCCCAGGTGCATAAACTGCTTTGTGGAGTTCACTGACCTGGCTTCGGCCATGGCGGTCCACCAGTCCCTGCAGGTGAGGGAAAAAATCTCCACCGCTCCCCTGGAAGAAACACGCAAGCAATGTCTGCCAAATGCCCCGCAGCGACCCGGTTGATGACATCTGCATCCCAATTCGCGGAATTGGGACCTTTCCAGGTGACCGCCTCAAACAGTCCAGGAGTGAGGCAAATGGGGCAGCCGTCAGCTCCCTGCTTCGCCCGACAAAACCGTGCCAAGAATTGGTCCAGTGACTGCCCAAGAGAAGCCGTTACTCACCATGTATTTTTTTCTGAAATCCCTGTCCATTTAGCGGTCCGGTTTTGGGGGTAAGGTTGCGTTGGCTGCTGAAAAGACAGAGAGCAATTGGACGGCAAAGTCCAAGGTATGTGGCTCCCGGTGCACGCACTCTCAGGCACGGTTGCTGCGCTCGGCGCGGCATCCTCATCCCCGCACACCCATGGCCACCGGCCGCCGGCTCTTTGTCCCTTCACCCGAGTCCCCTGATTCTCTGTGGCCCAGGGAGCCGTCCTGCAGAGCTCGGACCGCGGCGGCATCCGAATTCAGTACTCGAAAAATCCGTTTGGCAAAAAGCGGGACGCCTCGGGCAACCTCGTGGATCTGCGGAACCACGTGGCCAGCCAGCTGGCCGAACTGGAGGCCGCCAGCAGCGCCGCAGGCGTCGCGGTAACGGACTACATCAACAACTGCGCGACAAACAACAACGGCGCCGTTGCCGCTGCTGCCGCGCCCAGCAGCCACAGCACCAACGGTGAGACCGTGCCTTGGGGTCCGCAAGCCCCGGCCGCTCGGCCCTCCAGCCGGCGCCTGCGCAGAGAGCGACCTGGGGGAGCAAGGGCACGCAATCGGCCGCCCTCGGCACGGCTTTGCGCCGGCGTCGGCTGACAGCGCCGGAGGGTCGGCCGACGTCGAGGGCCAAAGCCGTCGCCTTGGGTGCATCACTGCCATCCCGTGTCATCGTTTGGGTCGTCCAGCATCCATCGAATGTCAATGCCATGGGCGAACGCGTTTGTTGGAAGATGAGGGGGAGGGCCCAGGCCACCCGCAACAACACACCTCCATGCCATTTTCGGTTCAAAGTTTGCATCCTTTTTCATAGCAAAAGAGCCTCGTGGGCCATTGTGTGTCAGTCCAGCACATAGTGGGACATGCACTGGCCGTGTGCCCCAGGCTGGATGGACATTTTGCTTTTTCTCATTGACAGGGTCGCTATCAGTTTTGATCGCATTGCCTCAACAAACCCACCCTGTGGATTTCTTGCACGCTTTCGGAATTTCTTTCTGCAATGAACTGACGCTCGTGCCCTGCTGCGCCCCTTCCTTCAGGCACTGAGGCCCAATACGAGGTAGCTGCCAACTGATGGCGGTGGCATTCTCTGTAGGTGAGCGCTCACGGAACACAGCAACATGAAGACGAGTCGCTTTCTCTGCTAAGTTTCCTGAAGTTTGCCGTGGGAAGGGTTCCTCAAGGGTGGTTGTCACACGGACAACATGCTGCCCCACCCCAACCCCAGGCGTTCCCTGGCCCTTTTCCAAACCCCGCGGTCCCTTCCCTTCTCCCCTTCTCCAGAGCTCTCACAGGGGATCACTGACAGCTTTCCACATACCATGTCGCAGACGCATGACAAATGACTGCTGCATCCAGCACTCGATGGCATCAATGATTCAGAAAGGCACCGCATCGCATTGTTCATCTTCCCTTGCACCACTGGGGCGCCATCTCCCCAGCAATGCCTGTGTGCATCAACTGGGGGCGGCTCGAAAGTGTGCAACAGCAAGGAGCGGAATTCCCAGGCGGTGCAAATCCCTAGGCCAGTGACTACAGGCGGTTGTGGGATGGATGCCATCGCTGCTGCTTGGGTCCAAAGTTTTGGGGCCCAAGCTACCAAGGTGCTGGGACAGCGCCACTGACCGGTACAATAAGAGCAGATGAACCAATGCCTGCATGAATGGTTTGTGGGAGCATCTAGGCGTGTGCTTGCGCTGTGGGCTGCTGCACCTTTGGCTGAGTAGCAAGGCGCCACGGGTGGGGCTCTTCACCAAGCGTGGAGGGAATGGAATGGAACGAATGAAATTTAAAGGCATGACCAAAGTGAACAGGTTGGAGCACGGGCAGGGGAGGTTCTTGATGGGGTGGCTGTCAGCGAGCTGTGCTGGCGGCCGTGCCTTGAAACTGCCACTGCAAGACCTTGCTACCAGGGCCACTTGCTCCGGATCGCTGCCGTCCCTTCCCGCTCGACTTTCGCTCCCACCGCTGCTCAACAGACGGCCCCAAAACAAGCCGGCGCCGTCCCCCGACCTAATACGAATTTGGCGTCACTTCAGATCAGCCCGAATGGGGACGAGACTTGGCTTGTCTTTCTTGCTGGGGATTGGCAGGGTGCGTGCCATCTCCGTCTGTGCGCGACAAGGAGCGCCGCGCGGGCGAACGTCGCGAAATTCGTCCGGCGATCAGTGGGGACTCGACCAGACGACAGCGGCCACGACAGCGCCCGCCACGGGCAGCCGGCAGCCTCTTCTCCCGTGTGATGCTCCGCTCCGCTCCACCTGGCCTCGGGCCAATCCGGCGCATCCTCAGCCTCGGCGCCCCTTGATCCGGCCACAGCCACCCACACCTCACGCAGCGCAGCCCCCTCCCGGGAAGGCCGCCGAGCCCATCAACTCCTGATCCCAATTTAGAGATTCGCTTTTCGAAGTCCAGCTCTCCGCGGCGCCAACCACCCCGTTCGCTGACAATCTCAGCACTACCGCCGACAGATCTCCCCGATGCCTCCGATGGATCTCAGGCTCCTCCATGCGCCAGCCGCTCCCCAACCCGCTGGCGGCGATCAGTCCAGATCCAGAAAGTCGAACCTCGCCCGCATCGTGGCCTTCTGCCGCACCGCCTCCTTCTCCGCCAGCCGCAGCTCCTTGAGCTCCTGCTCGCTGACGCGCGTCATCTCCGGCGGCACCTCCACCCGCCCGGGGTCCAGCTCGCCCATCAGCACCACGTTCTCCCCCCGGATCACCTGCGCCGAGCCCCGGCCCCCCCGTAACGACCCATCACACAAAGCGTAACGCGAACGCAACGCCTGCGCCTCGCCCCTTGCGCCCACAGGGGCGGCAGCCTGGCGCAGGTTTTGTCTGAACGGCCGTCTCTCGAAAGGCGAAAATGGCCACTTTTTCGCAGCAGCAGCTAGCTCCTCTTTCCTCGGTCGGCCAACGCCCGAGTTCCACACACAGTCCACTAGATATAGAAAGCGGGACAGAGTCCAAAACGCGCGACGTTCCGGAAGGACGGGCTGCTTTTTTGTGGCCGCTGTCGGGAACGAGCAGGTTGCGCAGGCCAGGGGGATCGTGAAACAGTTCAGTCCCGGGATTCGCAGTGCACCTGCAGCCCGGACGCCTCGTCGCAGTAGTGCCGGCCCACCACCCGCCGCCGGACGGACTCCTCCAGGACAACGTTGCCATACTGGTCGAAGCAGCGCATCACGCCCACGCACTGCGTGCCGTCACGCAGCCAGATCAGCATGCGCTTGTCTAGGGCGTCGACCATCGCGAGGCCGGGGGGTGGGAGGGAGGCCATGGCGGGGTGGGGCGCGTGTGGCCGTGCTGAGGCCGTTCCCGATAAGGAGAAAGCGCGCTGAGACCCCGCGTCCATATAAACTAAACCCTGAAACAGCCCAATCGCCCACTCCCTAATCCGTCTCCATCTCTGTCTCCTTATCCGTTGTCCGGCCAAGTCGTCAAAGGACAAGTCGGGTAAGGACAATTGGTCTAAGGACAACTTGTCTAACAAGTGGTCAATGCTGAACGCGGGTAAGGGTCGGTCGTGCACCAATTACACAAACTCCTCTGTTACGAATACCACTCGTGTTCAAAGCCGTTGCATTTGTTGATGAAGTGAACTGCAACGTTGGCTCTGGCTTGCATTAAACGGGCTGCTTTTAGACGAGCTGAGTCAACTCGTCCAGCCAGCGCCCATCATTTGCATTTTAACCATCAATTACATTTTATTTTGTTTGTGGTGGGCTGCATTTCGAAATGGTTCCTGCGCGCGTTCCTGGCGCTCGCACCAGGGGCGGCACAGTACGGGAGGGTGAGCGCGGCTCTAAGCACGTGGCTGGTGGGTGTGGAACAGTCTGGCACGAAGTGGCATCGCGTGGGACGCCGAATGGCGACTATGGAGCGCGCAGATTCTCCAAGGCGCGGAGGGGAATCGACGGGAGGGGCAGGCGAATGGCCGCCTTTAGAACTTTTAAGATGGTTTTGTTTTTGGGAAATTGACAAAGGGGGGTCCTCTGTGAGATATCTTGACAAAAGGGGGTCCTCTGTGACAAAAGGGGGTCCTCGGCGGGGGTGCATTTGACAAAAGGGGGTCCTCTGACCGCCCTCGGTACAGTGCCGACTGCATCGCGCCGGAACCACAGGGGCACCCCACACAGGACCCCTGTCAAATGCACCCCACGAGGGACCCCTTGTCAATTTTCCTCCAAGGGGTGTCGTAGTGGTTAGTGGGGACTTGGCGATGCCATTTAAATGCCCCGCGCCCCCCCCCCACCCTTGCCCCCAACCCCAACCCCACCTTTGGTGTCTCTTGAAAGCAATGCGCCATAACCGACCACGTCACTCCTTCAAAGCCAGGGCAGTCTTACCAACCAACCAAATGTCCGACCGAGTAGAATCGATGGTTAACAGATCAGAGATCAAACAGGAATCAACAGACTCGGCAAGGCTCCCGTTCACCATGGAACGCCTTGTATTTGTATTCAAACTAGCGCATTAGTATATCATTACTGTCTTTGGTACTGTTCCCAACCTTCCCCTTACAACGCCGGCCAAGAAAAGACTCTTTTCCATTCAATACACATCATAATGCGCCTGTCATGGAATAGGTCACCTTTTGATCCTACCCTATGCCATGGCGTCGGCACAACCCAACCATGGCGCCACCACACCCCAACCATGGCTTTCTGATGGTTAAAGTCTTACAATCTAATCCTAATATATGCAGTTTTTATCTTATGGTTTCTCCTTTAAAACTTCTTCCCCTCTGTTATGAAATTATCCCTTTTTGGCCTCTTTTGAACCCTTTTCTGTTGGGTTTTCAATCAACGGCCGGTGTATAAATTGCCTTGATTTGAGGTGATTTCAACATGTCTCAATTATATGCAAGTGGTCTTCACAAAAATACATAAATCATTATGAGCAATGACATGATTGCATCAGTATGGCATGGTTTCTAGGCTCAATGGTCATTTCTCCAGCTAGACATTGGCAGTGACTTCACTTTACAAATGCCCTCTTACAAAATCAAAGTGCTGCAAGTGTCTCGAATGTACCAAAGCTTGTGTGTTGTAGACTTCACACCAGAATCCACCAAGGGTGGGGTTGGGCTTGGGGGGGAGGGGGGGGGCATTTAAATGGCATCACCAATTCCCCACTAACTACTACAACACCCCTTAGAGGAAAATTGACAAAAGGGGGTCCTCCGTGGTGGTGCATTTGACAAAAGGGAGTCCTCTAACCGCCACCTGTACATTAGGCGCATTGCCAGACCGGCGCCGAGGACCCCCTTTTGTCACAGAGGACCCCCTTTTGTCAATTTCCCTTTGTTTTTTTATTGTTTTAGGGGTTGAGGTGGAATGCGGTTATGAGAGTTTTCGGTATTTGGATCTAGGGGAGTGCGATGCGAATGGGCAAAGACCTTGGGGCCACTGGGCTAAGGTGGAATGCGGATATGAGTGAATTTTTTTTGGGTTTAGGAGAATGCGGTAAACGGGTCAGGTCCTTGGGCCCACCGGCTTGAGGTGCGATGCTGATATGAGTGATTTGGTATTTATTGTTTGGTTTAGTTCCCAGGGTTTTAAGGGATCAGGGCGTCAGGGCTACATCTTAGGGGATCAGGTCAATTTGCCATGGTATTTGGTGCTGTTTGGACACCGGCCAACTCGGGTCAACGAAATTCTAGATGTGGTGTCTATTGGACAAAATGCCGTTGGACCAGTTGTCCATTAGAAGAGTTGTCCTTAGGCGAAATGGCGGCCACCCCATGCGGACCGCTCGGATGGAAACGGAGACGGAGACGGGTCAGGATTGGGCGGTTGGACGTCAGGGTTTACAGTCTGTATGTACAGGGTGTCCGCCTCCGTCCTGACTCCGTCTCATCTGTGTGGTCTGTATCCTCCATGCCCTCGAACAATGTGCCTGTGGTTGGGTGTGTGTGCTGCTTTGGTGGTGGGGTCGAATGACGACGCAGCGGGGCTCTTTTGGAAGCACCATTTTTTTCTCACTTTTGTGGCTTACTTGCTTTTCTTGCTTGCTTCCTCCGAATGGGAAGGTGCTGTGCAGGTGTTGGCCTGCGCCCATGTGGGCTGTTGTTCTGGGTGACGTCGGTTGGCTGAAAGGGCAGGGCCCTGCAGGTGCTTGCTCAACTAAGACTACTGTGTTTTTTGTGTACTTTGTACTTGCTGTGCACACAGTAAATACAGAGTACACAAAGGCACGTAGAACATAAGGTTTATTCTGAATAAGAAAATGTTGTGGCGATGGCGCCGATCATAATTGGCGATGCGCTGGATGAGTGCGCACATTTGCCTTTGCATCTTCTCTTGTTAATATTTATTTGCATAAATTTTGCAGTTTTGTTTTTCCTTTTTTGCACATTTGGACCTTCATCCAAGACATGCTTCCTGTTGCCTTGCTCGCTACACCTGGATCCAGGGATCTTTTGGTACATTGGCCACCTTGATATTTCAGATCGATTTAAGTCCTAAAGGCACGCTGGATTGGCAGCTATTGCGTATTTGTCGATTTTGCTGATCGTTGTGGAGAATCGCCACGCATCTCTAAGAGGGGACAAGGGAGCCCCTGGGGCCAATCTGCATTGCTGCCTTCAAAGTAAAAATGGATAATCATGTCTCTGTTCATCCATCCCATGATGTTTCTATATAAATGTGCGCAAACCCAGTTTCCTTCCCATCCTGCTACCATCACCCTCTCAGCAGAGAGTTTCACCATGCGTTTTTTGAAGTGGATTTTACGATCAGTAAAGAGAGTTTAAATTGAACGGATAGGCCAGGGCAGGACGATTTGTGAGGGACACTCACGCAGTCTGGTTTTGGCATCCCGTCAGTCAATGGACACCTTCTCACTCTCACCACAGCCGAGGTCGCACTCTTGTTGTAAGCATGTGCACCTCGCTGTGTCGCCACTGTTTTTGCACCCACCCGCCCCCTGCGTGGTTCTCGGTTGGTGGTTTCCCCTTTGGCTATTGGTTTTTTCTGTGGAATATGCTTCGGCGTGACCTACAAGTAGGGCCTGAAGGCAATTCAGATGGGAGAGACTCAGCTGGACCAAGTTTTGATTGATTGAATGCAGATGTTAGCAGGGATTGAACACTTTGTTTGTATGTCTGATGTTTGTAGACAATTTCATTTCTGGCACAGCCCTTTGGTCTTTTGTGCATGGGTGGGAGAGGACTGCAGTGTACATTTAAACTTCGGGCAATTACCAATGTGGGCATATCCGCAGGGAGAACCGTGCTCACCGGCAATGCATATTTTAAAATCATTCCTAAAGGAGCTGCTACCACTGCGTATCGTCAAACTGACCCACTTTCATGCACCCGTCGACAAGGACGCCAACGTCCACACATGCTTGTGCCTTGCACTCAGCCACACGCAATTTCGTACGCACTTAAATAACTTCCCCTTGTACTCCCCTGAGATCCAAAGCAGCCAAATTCACTGACTGACTAAGGTAAAACGAAGCCAGCCCGTGTCTTCGTTTACCTCCAAAGATCCAGGTTTGTCTGAATGCTCACAGCTCGTCACTTGGACTTGGTATGGATGCTCGCTGCTCGCTACTTGGTGTATACCAACTTTCTACATAAAGAAACCACGATGGCCAGCGCAGTGCCGCTCACAATGGCCCCACATTATGTGGCGATGAAGGGCTGTGTGGACAGCATTCGGTTGAACGGCTGCGGGCCGCGGATCTGCCGGGGCCCAACTTGCTCCAAGCGAGATGGCCAATTCGCGGCCCCCCCACCCCACCCACCCACCCGCCCACACACACACACACGGGGTAACCTCCATCCCAACGTTCCAAGCAATCCAACCTCTCTAAGCTACAAAGACTGACCCGCGGTTGGGTACCGCCGACGTTTCGAATTCGAGCGGCTCGTCGACGGACGGTTTCGGCTTCCAGTAGAGCCGCCTTGGCAGCGCAAGGTGCGGAGCTGCTGCTCCGCACCTCCCCCGTGCGCGTCCTGCTCATAAGAGCCAATCAGATACACGCAGAGTCGGTATGAGCGGCGTATCCGACCGCCATGCACGCCAATAGAACAGCAAAATCGTAGTGTCTGTGCTCTTTGCCACAGAAATAATGCGTACAGCAACAGCCAGCCATTTTTCCGTTTGGCATGGGATATTGTGAACATTCAACCGATGTGGCGATTGGGCTCAGTCGAGGAGGGCGTTGGCCTTAGGAAATGTGTTGCAAGTCTGTGTTGAGCACAAGCGCCGTGGCGTTGCTAAAGAGTGTCCTTTACTT